AGCAACCAACACAGCACACTCTATGATTTCTTACACTCATGAACACGTTAAAATCTTTAAAATTTGGCACCACTTCAATTGTTTGTTGGCTAGATAATAGATTTCAGGACAAATTTCTCGGCTGGTCGAAGGCCATGTGACAAAATATGGTCTTCCACTGGAACATTCTGCGCAGTGTACTGTTTTACTGAAATTTGGTTCCTTGAATGCATCAGGCCTGTACACATTTGTTTCCACGATTGAAGATGTGCTCTTCAAATGCATTGCAGTTCGAAATACAGCACCGGTTTACAAACAAGACGAAGTACAGGTAAAAAATGTCACAGTGACGATTTTTTAGACGCTTTATCATAGCTAAGACTAAGGGGCCCACAGCATTAAAAGTGCTTTTTCTTTGCATTTATCAGTGTTGGTAAATTTTTTTCCCTCCTTTTTTGCGACAACCTTCATTTTAAATCCATTTTATAAAAGATAGTTATGAAACAGATTAATGCCCTGGATTTTTTCCTTCAGCATTTATAACAATCAGCTTGGCCTTTGACAAAAGAAAAAACGCGCACTTATTATGGCCGTTTCTCAAAGTAATAAGCATGCTACACTGAAAGCAGCTAATACCAGCCGAAAAATCAACTAACATGAGCATTCCTTGGATTTTTCCAAGTGATGCCTGATTTGATATCCGGAATGCAACAGTTTACATTTTTAGATACACTGTTACGATGAATACGCCGCTTATGTGGACAAATTTAACATTCTCAGTGACCAGAAAGCGCGTGTACGACTGTTTTGTCTTGCATTCGTTTCCGGATCGCCGGTTCTGGAAATAGGCTTGAACGATCGTCGACGGCAAGGCAAGGTAAATTCAGTCTTGGACGATATGCAAAATTAGAGAAGTAGAAAGCAAATAATTTCAAAAAAAAGGTCGAAAATTGAGGCAAATCTTGTTTCTAACTGATCGATAACAACATTTTTTCTCGCTCGCTCCATCTGTATGCATCTGTGAAAAAAATGCAAAGAACACCGAGACGATCGGGGTAATCCGAATGATCATTCCACGTTATTATGCGTTTTTTGCAGCAATGCAATGCGAAAAACGCATATTGACGAGAGGTTGTCTGTGT